CTAATGACCATTTTAGAGTTCTGGCCAAGTCGCTGATTCTCCTTCTCTTATGTCAATTAAAAAAGACTGTACCGGAACTGGCACGATTCAACAGTCGATCCAGGGCAAGAACTGTCTTATCTCCACCAATTATCTTCGCGAAAGTCATGTAATGACTTGCCTAATCCAATGCACCTGGGCCAAAGTAACAACAAAAATACTCTTGTCCTACAGTTAAACAAAACTTATTGGCAATTTAAACCTGTAGTAAACTCAAAAAGAAGAGGACTCGATCGCTAGGGCAATTTTTATTCGTCTGACGTTTCGATATCCATCGTGGATTCGGCATCAGAGACATAAATAGTAGCAGATACGGGTAACGTACGCACAGGAGTTTGCAGTTTTTATAGGATACAGTCATTACTGCAATGTATCCTATAAATACTGCAAACTCCTGTGCATACGCTACCCTTATCTGCTGCTGTTCTCTGCTTATGTCTCTGATGATGAATCCACGACGGATCTCGAAATTTTAGGCGAATAAAAATATTGTCCCAGCGATCGAGTAGTCTTCTCAATTACTTCCTGGGACTCGCCTGTTCGCTTGTAATGTAGTAAACTCGTTTAGCGAAAAGCCTGAATCCATAGTGGACGCTACTTCAGAACCCAAGCAAAGTCGAATTTAGCTGTTTTCGGTTACGCAGATCTCACAATAAATCATTAGAGATGTCAATAAGCTGCAAGCTACTTCACAGTGCAAAAGTACGAAGCGTAGTCGGCGTAGTCTCTGTCAAATAAAGGGACGTGGACATCATAAAGCTGGAATTGTTGTTAGAAATGTGACCGCCTACGTGAAAGCATGCTTTGCAAAACTACTTTCGGTGCAGAGCGAGAAATATCGACGACGTCGTCGAAGGGATTGCCCATCTTACGAAAGTTTCTAGTTGAAAGGGATCTCTAACTGATAAATTCTTCAGTAAAAATTTCCCCTTGAGTCCCCAAACTGCTGCTAATGCAAAGTTGCGCTTTAAATTTTTGATAAACCTTTCTTTGAAGTTTTTTGTTTTGCTCGCGTGCACACCTACCTGCATTCACAAAATAGGCAGATTTGGGCGGAATACATCCTTATGACAATTAGCGGCAACTTCTCCTATTATTATTTGACCGTCGGACATCTAGCGTCGTCTCTAAGTAAGTACCCCTCTTTAGCTGCGCCTACAGGCACCACATGAAATTGGTCATTGTACTTAAGGGTAACAGTTGCTGTCTGGAAGGGTGTTGTAGTAAAGGCAAAAGGCCCGTTTACAGTGCATCGTATTTTCGTATTTTTTTTGCCCCAGGTAAAACCCTTCTATGTGTGCTCTAGATTCTTGGCAGTGCTCGAAACCTTTTGCATTCTCTTGACAAACTGAATCGCGGGGGAGTCAGGAGGAGGGGAAATTGACAAAAGCCATTAGCCCATTGTTTTGCACTGTGATGGAGATAGTCTACTCTGCCTTCTGGAGACGAGTGTTCTAACCTATAAACCCTTCAGCCTTCATTTTCAGTCCGGATAACTAATTAATTAATGATGCTGAAAAAAGGCCAGAGGCTGTTTGGCTGGATGAAAAGGACGTCGTAACAAATGAGGTAGAAGATAATGATCGCGTTTGTTGTACAAATAAGGGGGAGAAGAAACAAAGGGGAAGGAGCAGGGAATAGGGCCAGAAAGGACATTTTTCCCCTCCTCCCCACCGTAGTAGCAGGCCAACTGCACATGGCCGCGTCACATCTGGTCATAATTGCGTTCACCTGTCGCAGGCGGAAGGGAGATGGCCGGAATGGAGAACTTCCAGAGATAGGCAGTCATAATAAAAGCAAAACAGAATTATAGGAAACTGATTTAGGAACCTGCTGAAGTGTGCTAATTGAAAGAGCTGGAAATTGTGAACAAAAATTTTCAACGAAACCAGAAATGAAGTATATGATGTAAAACTTAGTCGAAGACAAATCCCCTGAAAAGGACCACGTGTTTAATAAAGTCCACTTCCTTTTTTCTGTAGGTGGGTTTTCGATTTACTAGAAAGGATTTATTTATCTTCCGGCCAGCACCTCAGAATACTGACTTGGCAGCCATTTATAATTTTCGGAGCACGTCCAAAAAAGGGATTCTTATCGTGTAATTAGCTACTTCCAACTCTTCCACTTCACCCTGTACAGTCCTGGTGCCTACGTCCGCGCAGTATTTTCCAGTAATGATGGAACCATTAGCAAATTTGCAAAGGTCCAGTACAGTAACATACCCAAAATAGAGAGTTTTACTTTGCAAGCGAAACTTTTTCGAAAGAAATGCTTAAATTATTTCTTGTACATCTTTCATTTTCCCTAAAAACCAGCTGAATTTTCATTAACAAATTCCTTCTCCCTGATTTTATATCTAAAAGCATCAACACACGTGAATGACTTCAAAACTTAAGCATAAGCACTTTTGCAGGGTTCTTCGCGAATCTCTCAAATCTTCCACGGCTGTGACAAAATCGTATATACAAATTAATTAAGTTCCACTGAAAATTTCACGAATGCGTAAATATCGCATCCAAAAACGCAAATGCACAAGACATAGCTGCGTATGTATAAGACTATTCGATCATTGTTTTGATTGTTAACTAAAGGAATGGAAATTTCCATTAACTGGAGAAGCGAGCCCGATCTCCATCCCCATCAAGAAAACTGTTGTGAAATTTTTAAGGCCATACGATTTAGGATAACCTACATGTAAATATGATTCCGTTTCCAGCACTTCGGTGTTATTAACCTTTTTTATTCTATTCTCATTGTAAATTCCAAAATACCAATCAAAATGCACTCTAAGCCTCTGAAAACATAACAAATTCTCAGTGATTATCAAATCTAAATTGTGCATTGGAACAGACACCCCTGAGTAATCCGAATGACTTTATGCTACACTTCTGTGAGATTAGCATTACAGTGCAGTTTAGAGTTGGGTAAGTTTTTTCTTTAGGGTTAGAGCGCGGGAGTAGGTAACCTTCCTGGAATTTAGCCTAAGGCCACTTTCAGTGTGGGGCTTCCAATTCCCGTTTTTCACTCAGGATGTCTCGACTGTTGGTTCGCTCCCCTCGTCAAAGACGCAGAGAATGTTTTTGGGCAAATGCCCCTGACCGATACCAATGCTCCAGCAGTTTACCCTCTTGCCGTACCCGCACAACATTTATCTTTCGTAGTAGGGTTAAATTTGACAGTTTCTACTTTTAACAAAAGTTGTATTCAAACAAATTGTGTTATACGTGCCAAAGCACATTCTTCTGGGATTTAGTACATGTTTGCGACCATTTATAATAGCTACGATATTTCAGTTTTCGATTTTTCTGTCTGACAGGTGGTTTCAGAATACACGGAAAATGGCCACCTTAGCCAAATAATAAGTTGAAAGCACCCCCACTATGGTAAATCAAGGTCGCCAGTATATGGAGTTGATTATATTTTATCCGAAAATGAAGTCTCTCGTCAATAAGGATTTGAATGTGCCGATTTATATTCAAAAACACTGATACCTAAGGTGGAGGTGTTTGGATAATCTAATTTTTTCGCACCAAAATAAAGCACCCTAAAAAAACACAGACACTTACTTACATTGCATATTTACTTATAGTTTATTGGGCGTGACAACGTTTGAACATCTTTATTTATTTACACTTTATAGTTTATTGGGTTTCTTGATATTCGTGAAAAACATTTGGTGACTAGGTCGTCTACTTCAATTTACCTGAGGTCCAACTTACCGTTCTGGAGTTAGATTAGCATAGCTCGCATCGTGAGGCGCCGCGCAAACCTTAAATTTACATGCGCAACAACTTTCGGTTATTTTATTTTATTTGGTTAACTTAACTTATTCATATTTAAGTTCAGTTTGCAGTGTAGTTTTCAGTTTATTCTTATGCTAACTATTTTTATCTAAGTTTTAGATTATTTTTCAGTTAAGTGAGTTTAGCTTTCTTCAGTTTACGTTTGTTAGTTAGTTCATTCTAGTTTTAATTAGTTATCTTTTACTTTAGTTATTCCCCAATATTTGCGTAATTGTACATTTTAATTATGGCACGTCTTTTGCTGACAAACATTCGATCACTTAAATAATTATTCCTGTTTTTTATACTTTATAAACTTTATTTTTTTATTTATATTTACTTTTCTTTATATTGCCCACACTGTTTACTCTCTATTACAGCCTGTCTCGTATTACAGACGTATGGGGCTATCGCGTGCTGATCTGGGGCCTAAACTAGGATTCTACTATACTTAATATCTTCCGTCCGCACGCCCAAACAGCCATAATTCTCCGACCAACTTTTTCCGAACTGCTCAGACGGATGTCACCGGTTGACAGTTTTTTCACCGTCATGTGACAAACCACTTTCTTGATCTGAATTAATTGCAGGAAATCAGTTATAAGCGAAGAAAAATGGAGGGAAAACTTAAGCCACAATTTTTCGTACCTTTTTAGCAGTAGGCATCGAATCCCGCAATATGACTTAGCAGCTGTGTGTAAGAAGGAAGTCTAGACTATCTAGAATTAATTCCATATCAGATTGCGGGACCATAAATTCTTTTCAATTCCCGAAAATGAATAGAATTTTGGTTAAATGCGAACAACTGTTTACTAGAATTTCTTCCCCCCCCATTAGTGGAGTAGAAGTTTGCCGTTCCCAACTCCATCTCAAAGTACAATCGTTGTATTCTAGCATCCCGAAATTCATCCTCCGTCCTATCTCTTTCTTATTGTTATGACTGTTTTATGCACCTTAGAAAAGGTATGACCAAACTAAATGCATAAGGAGCATTGATGGCGGATCGGCAAACTTCAAATATTTCACTATTGGAAATAAAAGGGTAGATGTGGTACTGCATAAGTCAGGCTCAGGTCAACTTTGGCCGGTATCTGTGGAAGTCAACGGTATTTCGGTTGTGCCTGATCGCTTGCTCTCAGTGATGTTGCGGTCGCAAGGAGCCTGTGAGCTCTGCGGTTGCTACATTGATGGCTTTTGACGCTCAAGTTTCTTGTTGTTCGTTTCTGAGGCAACCGGATCGTACATTTGGAAGGCCTTGATGCAGAAGTTCCCCGAGTCCACCACAACAGCCATTTGGTCAGCCAATGAAACCGCAATTCCATTTGGATCGTTTAGCATGCCCAGTGGGGTTGTTAGCAGCCGAAGAAACTGACCATGATTGTCAAAAACCTGAATATTTGAAATAAGGTTGGTTACGATTGCTGGTACATACAATACCATTTGATTAAGAATGCACTTTCGTCAAAGTATGTAAGCACGCACGAAATTAATGCATGGTCTGTGATAACTTGATGGCCGACAGCCTTTCTGCACTTTTTGGACATCAACGGTCAATTTATGTCGGTAAATTGATGTCGGAAGAGTTTCTTTAACCTTGCCTGATGGAATTAAATTATATACCTCGCAACTTTGTTTCTCTCGCCCTGGCTACTTAGAGTCAGATTAGACACCTACTGTAGGTGAGTGAGGGTAGACAGGGCAGTAGTACCCGCGCAAAGTCTACTGCCACTAAAGATTAAGTTAGGCGGTGTTTCTGGCTGCATCTGGAGAAAGCGTCTTACGCCCGATCCCTGTTCGGTCATTTCGGCTTTGTCTTGTCACTGTTTCAAGCGGCGTGAGGGTTTAGAGTGGGATAGATGGCAGCTCGTTTACTTTCACTTTACCTGGCCACAATCACCATCCCTGCTCTCGGGCAAATGTTGGACATCACCAATTACGTTGGTAGAACTTCTCTTGGACAATAATATTACACCGGTGGCAGAGAAACTCAAGTGAGGAGTCGGGAGTCAATTAATGTGGAAAGTGAAACATTCCATCAACGGTTGCCTACGTAAGAATATCTTAGAAGATTACGGTTGTGAACAAGAATGGCTCTCAGTTCGCTGAATATGGACCTTCCAATTTTAATGCAGCCCTGACCTGCCGTCTAGCAGGTATTCGCTTATAAACAAATCAACAGTGACCGATTAGTATTTCTGACCGACAAAATTGAGACCAAATCTCCGTTCCGGCTTATTTTTCCAGCATTGAGTACTATCCCCCCCCCATTAAACCCGTAAGATCCAGGGCTAAACCCCCGATTCAATCGGTTACCGAGCCAACGATCCTCTCCTCTGCAGTGATCCCACGCGCGTTCAAAGCTCAGGACTTCACCACCTGGGACTGAAGCATGTCTACCTGCTGACAAAAAATAGGCCGGAAGCTCAATTTTAGCCTCCGGTCCTTCTCTAGAATGGATCTTCATATCTAAGTTGGTCAAGCAGTCATTATTTGCTATGCTCTGGATTATGTCAGGATTCGCTAGGTCAAGTGGATTCACTTGTTCAGTTTTTGTTTGGATAGTACCACCTATCAGGCAGTTTCTTTCTTTGAGACTAGAACCACCTTTCAAATAGCTTTGGTACCATTTTCCCGTACCATTTTCACCTTCATGTGAAATTATGGTTTATTAGGTGTGATGTTAATACGTTGACCCAGCAGATATTGCTGCATGCTCAATTCTTATAATGAATCTTTACAGTAATTACCAGGAAATTATTTTGCCAATGATTTCAACTGATTGGATAACTTGCGATACGCCTTAACTTTCTGACCATCATTTGTGCGCCAGTCTTCACAAACCGATTTAGTTTTCGATCTGCTTTGGAAACCAGACTATTTGAAACCAACATGCCTAATCTATGGTATCTTCAGTTCGTATATGAAGCACTCCACCTAAACTTCTTACTATTTTATATCTTCAAGTCAACTGTCGGGAATGGCACACCTTAAAGAACGTAATCTTTCCTCATACTTAGGATGACATTTGCTATGTCGTTTTTCGTATATTGATTGTAAGCATATTGACCGTGTAAAGGCACAACTAGTGTTTCATGGATTTTAAAAGGGTCGCTGACTTACTTGAATTCGACAATTACCCGAGTCGCTAACGTAGAGCAGGTCATTGGAGTCGAAGCAGAGGTAGGTAGGTGAATGGAAACAACCCCATTCCGGTCCATTGCTTCCAAACCTGAAGAGAAACTCTCCACCATTCTCGAAGACCTTGATGCAGTGAACTGGAGTGTCGGTGACGTAGATACGATCAGTTGAGTCAACTGCGATGCCCACTGGCCCAGTGAACTGGTTGTCATTCGTACCACGAGACCCGAACTGTCCCAAGTAGCGTCCAGTTGGTTTAAAGTAACAGACTGAACAAGCCTTTGTGTCAACTACGAAAATCCTGCCCTTACTGTCCACGGAGACCGCCTGAAAGTTACGAAATAGTAAGTGTCAGTTAGCGGAAGAAAAGCCCTCCAATTAAGAGGGACCAACTGAGTCTGATCATATGTAAATATGAGCTATGCATTCCTGATGCGTTTAAAGGGAAAGTTTTGTGCACTTTTCCCAACAGTAAATCCCCCACATTAGGGGATCTTGGTACATTTTTACTGAAACATCGGACGACAATTCTGATGATGTTCACCCTGTGTCGCACAAAAACGTGCCAAATTCAACTCCTGTTGCCTGTTAAAGAAAACTGCGGCAGCAAGAGTTTCAATGCTTTGGAAAACATTCGGAATGAAAGTTCTAAGTCAGACATAGATTTACGAGTGGTTTGCACGGTTATGCGGTCACCAAATGCCACTCGAAAATGAACCGCGTTCGGGCGGCCCCTCAACGTCCAGCAATAAAACTTGAATTTCATGATGGTTGGTCTCTTTCTCAACATCAAAAGATTCGTTCTCATGGAGTTCATTCCGCACAGCACTGCACTGACCCAAGCTTAGTATCTGCAAGTGCTGTAGCGATTGCGTGAGGCTGTGAGGGCAAAACGACCTAAATTGTTGTGATCTGAAGACTGATTGCGACTACTTGTGATTTTTCGATATTCTCCTTGCATTCCTGCCTTCAGCCCTACTTAGCTACTTTAAAGAACCTCAGCAGGAGTATCTGCTCTGTTCGGACTTCACCAACGGAATGACCGTGGATATGAAAAGTTATTTGAAGGAATCGACCAGAAAAAAATTCAGTGACGATTTCATAAAATGACTTCACTAATGCTACAGTTCGACATAGCGCCCTATGCTAATCCCTGAGTTATAATCGAACTATCTTGTCTGCTTTAAGTTTTCTAGCCATCGTCTTAAACGACTGTAGATAAAGCCATAGGGGTTTTCAGGGCATATCTCTTTTTAATCTTACATTTTGGTCTGATTTATCTTTTGCTTTATGAAAATGAAAAATTTATTTACGGGTAAACGAACCTGTCAAAATATAAAAGCTTATCTCATAGATGGTAAAAAACTCTGTTGGTACATTTTTCAATTCTCTAAACGGTGTCAGCTTTTAAGCAGCAAGATAATTATGGTAATGATAAGTTACATAGGCTCCCTGGGTTTAAAATACAAGCTTGCTTGATTTGGTTTATTACTTCAAAGTTATGGGGAGTAGTCCTCTGGGTGTTAACTACTACAACCATATAACGAAGTGAACAAAGCTATTTTGTTGTGGTTTTTGTTATGTAAATTCCTTTTATTTATCGAAAGTAGCGTTTGCTTCATTTTTGAATATCACGCTTGACTTCATTGTTATATATAGACCTAGAATAATAAATACGGCGGAAATTTACATATTACTTATGTTTTCTTGCACACAGTGCGTGGCTTGTGCGCGGTGAGGCCCCACTCTTAATAACCCCATTACCACCATTCCTGTTTTAATGGATCCCGGGGTTAGTGATGGATGAGGGGGGCCTACTTAACCTATCGTTTCCAAAATT